GGGGAAAGGTGGTAATAGGGATTTTACAGGCTGGGCTACTGTATGCATAGAGGAATGGCAAAATAAGTATAGATAATTGGTGAATGAGTTCTTTAAGCGAACTCTCCAAGCGAACGGCGCCATATATTCAGATATCTGGTGTATTCGACGTAACACATGATACCACACTTCTTCTTGTCCAGCAATAAGCAAAAACGGAGAGCAAAACGATTTGGCCTACCGACTTCGTGCTCCTGAATAACTGCCTTGAGACGGGGCATGAAGACGGAGATAAGTTCGCCGAGTACGCGCTGATCGGCTTGCACACCTATCAGACTGTCCGCAGAGAAGTAGGAGGGCGGTAAGATGTCCTCAATTATGGAGCACATCATCCAGAAGGCGGCTTCCTCCTCCATGAAGAGGAGCAGATTAGCTGCAATCTTGAGAGGTAGAAACAAATAGAAGAGTTGGTCAGTTGGTATTTTTTGTTGCTCAGTCAACATCACAGGTCAAAAATGATAAGAATATAGAAACATCACAGAGCATAACAGCAGTGCAGTTTAAGATATTCAGACAATTCTGTGTATACTACGGATGATACAGTGACTTATCGGGGGATGACTACATGGGTTAACTAGTAATCCATATTGACCCAACTGTGAAAAACTTGGCGTCTCGGTGGGATTCGGACCCACGACAGTAAGGGGAAGGCTTTAGTACAGCCAACGCTCTAACCACTTGAGCTATGAGACCCAGCCGGACGACGCGAGTTTAATCACATTTGGGTCAAGTTACCCGCCCCACTTTCTGCAACGCCTGGAATCCACCAAATCTAGTAGAGTAAGTTGACTGCCCAAGCAGGAGTTCCTAAGTAATTCACCTAGAATCCACCAGATGACTACGAGGCTCACGTAATTCATAGGTGCTTTGGCAGATTTTGAATAATTCATATCGACCCAACGTTGCAGTAGTTTGGGCAGGTAGCTTGACCCAAATGTGGTTAAACTCACGTCGTCCGGCTGGGTCTCACAGATCAAGTGGTTAGAGCGTTGGCTGTACTAAAGCCTTCCCCTTACTGCGTGGGTTCGAATCCCACCGAGGCGCCGAGTTTTTCACAGTGGGGTCAGTATGAATTATTCAAAATCCACCAAAATATCTATAACTAGTAATCGTTAACCCGACAATAACAGTGCAGCCCCCAACACGCGCACAACTCGGCGTTTTGCCTTACGAAAGGCCAAATGTCGGCATGGCTGACAATCTGATCGTCCTAGCTCCGGCCTGCTAATGGGCGACCCCAGTTCTGCAGCACAATCAGGAGCGGTCTTTTGTGACCTACTCTGGCAAATATTGTGGAACCGGATGTGCATGCCATGAGCAGTCTTGCTCGCTGTCCGATTGGTGCGACAGGTCTCTTCCGTCCCCACCCGCTTACCGGGC